GACGAGCCTTCTTCGACCGCTCAGCGGCTATAGAGGCCTCTGCGGCCACCTGGGCTGCTGCCTCACCATACTCCATTGTGCCGCCATGCTGGATCCGCTTCCTTTTGCGCGATTTCCTTTTGGTCATCACTGCTAATTGCTCTTCAAGCTCAGTAATCCGGGCTGCTTGAAGCGCGTTCTGATGCAGCATAAGCTCGCCGCCTCTAATAAGCTGAGAGAAGCCTGCCTGCGCAGTAATAGGAGAACGAGTAAAGGACTCGCGTACAAGCTTTGATTGCGATCCAAACTCATGTGTATTGCTTGGAGTCTTTGACTGCCATGGCGTCTCTAGGAGGAGGGGTTCTGGCGGGGTACGCAGCCGCACTTCAAGGCGATCTAATACGACCTGCGCGTTAAGAGGGACAAGTCCTGATGCCTTAAAGGCCTTGCAACAGATTGCCTCTGTAAACACGTCGCAAAACGCGTCTTTGAAGGCTGGTAGGAAGCCTTCTTTGTTGATGTGGAAGACGCGCTTGCGTGCTAAGTCTCGTACGCGCTAAGAGTACTTGCGCTTCAACAGCGAGAAGCAGACCACATCAAGCGGCTGGAGGATGTGCGACAAGTGAGGTGGCATGCAGAGGGTGAGGATCTTATGTTCAAGGCAGTAGTCCTTGAAATCCTGGTTGAGGTGGCTCTTATGGCCGTCTAAAAAATGAGCAGCCTGTACGCCCCTACCTGGCCCGCCTTTGTATGCGCGTCAAAGTGCTTCAACCACTCTAGACTAAGCGCATTGTTCGTCCAGCCGTTCTGAGAGACTGAGAGCTTCCAATTGCGCGGTATATCTGCCTCCTCGTACCAGGCAGAGATGTGAACGCGTCCTTTGTAGATAATAAAAGGTGGGGTACAAGATCTAGCAGCGCAGACGCTCTGGATGACTGTTACCCACTCGCGATCACCTGGCTGAACGAGCTCAGGCTGAGTACGCCTCTCTGCGCCTGTGACAACCTTCATTGAGCTAATAACACCTATCTGGAAGCCAGTCTTGTCAAAGTTGTGCATGTTGTAGTCGTGTACGCTGTACTTGGCTCTAGTGTCCTCTACCAGCTTAAACCACGCGCCAATTGTCTCTGGATCCTCCTGCAGTATCCTCTGCCTATCTTTAGCTCGATTAAAGGCCATCTTAAGCTCAGCTGAGCGCGTTACAAAGCGCTCAGCCCAGTGCTTGCCAACCGGCTGCCCACCGCGTACACCCAACACTTTATCAGCCATATCTGCTACCTCGCACAGCCAGGGCGCGAATCCTCGCGAATCCAGGTTAAGGATATATTGGACGATTGTTTACTCTTCTGTAAGCGTAAGTTTGCGGCTGTTGGGTGCTTATTTAAGGATAAATGGGGCTCCTCTAACGCGTGCAGAGAGAATGCGTTGTTTAACGTTAAAAGCGCGCGCAGCTGCTCTCTAGCTTTTAAATTGTTTTAAATGAAGAGCTTTAAGGGCAAGGTCAACTCTACCTTCGTGTTCACGTAGTAACGTGTTATGTGGTTGAGGCATGTTGCGACAAAGAGGGTGTTCGTTGTGCCAAGACATTTTGAGCTGTTGGGTGGTTTGAGCTGTTGGGTGGTGGAATACGTTATAGACTAGACATATTCTATAATAATCTTTCTAGTAGCTACCTCCTGTTAGAGCTAGTAGTTGTAGATATCTACATGCTAAAGTTTAGTATATAGTTACAACACTTCCTTAGTAACTAGTTAAATTATTTATTTATTATTATATTATATTATAATAGCGTGTGTGCCTATATTAATGTATAGTTTGCGCAAGAGCCTTAAGATAAAGAGTACTTCTTTTACAACCTAGGTAAGAGTAAGAAGCTTAGCCTTAGTTATTAATATTATTACTATGTCCTGCTTATTTGCTTTCTTTGCAATAAGGCTGCTAAAGAGTTTAATTAGGTAGCCTTAGGAGCTCTTTCTGTCTATAGTGTTGTCAGCGAAGGACGCGTTACTTGCTACCTAGAGGCTGATGCCTCCTCTAAGCTGCAGTAATTGCTGTTTAGTGTTGAGTAGATATAGAAGGACCCAGTCCGCAGCATCTTGGTGGCTGATGCATAGATTAGTAAGGAACCTGGCAAGCCTTAATGTGGCGAACGCAATGTCAGGTCGCGTGGTGACCACAGCGAATAGCAGTAATCCAATTTTGCGTTGATACTTGTTAATTTCTACTAGCGCTGCTAGTCCGCTCCTTAGCTGTAGTTTAGTTATTGCTATTAGAGTGTTATGTTGTATAGTTGTGTTCTTAGCAAGGCGACTAATTTTGTCTAAGTACACTGCCTAAGATAGGTAGATTTTCTTGCTTGCTTAGTCTTGTATAATCTCTATGCTAAGGAACTACTATAGGTCGTGCCCTCCTGTGTAGGTATACTTGCTCTATACGTGGCTAATTATTTATATTACCTCTTACTCTTTTAATTTATTATACAGAAGGATAATATTATTAATATAAAAGAAGATAATAATACTGCCCTTAGTTAGACAGCAGGGTTTGTAAGGCATAGTCTAGAAACCTAGTGCTTTTAGTGTTGCAGTGAAGTTCTTCTGCTAGAGGAGGGGTTGGTTGGTTGGTTGGTATTCATTTTACGTCTAGATAATAGGGATGAAGTCCACTATCTCGCCTCCCGAAGGGCATATACGACGTGCTAAGCTATAGGATTATAGTGCTAACACACTACCTTAGAAAGCATTTCTTGCCTGCGCAGGTATTGCTACTGTTTTAAGCTACAGCTCCCCTGCTAGTTGGGGAGACTAAGCAGTGTAGATATATTAGGGTGACTCCCTTTTGTGTGTTTAAAGGCAGTGGAATGCTGTAAGAGTAGAAGAGAGAGGGAGAGTAAGAAGGAGAGTAAGGAAAGAGTATGGTTGTTTGCTGCTGTCGCAGCGCAGGGTGAGCTACTGGGGGCAGACCTTGGTGTAGTATTGAGTGAGTTAGGTAAAGGCTTTAAAGGCCTCTGGATCCCTAATAAGCACACTAGTATATGCTACACCTTTGCTACAGCTGGATGGTGGTATAGGTGGTTAGAGTGGCTATTAGCTGAAGGACCCTTAGGTCTTGCAGCAGAGTATAAGGTGCTCTAGCGTCTTGTTGCGCCTGCATGAGCAGGTAAGTGTTGCGTTGTTGTGTTTGTACTTTTAGTAGTACTAGGCAAAGTCGCTGTGCATAGATTAGATTAAGAGCAGTCTAGCTAGGGTAGCTCTTAGTAGGTCTAGTTTAGGTAGTCTACTGCGTGGTGCATAGTTAAGATCCTAGCTCTTGTACTATTTTAAGAGCTTAGTCTTCTTGTTAGACCACCATGTTTGTTGCGTGTGCTGTAGCATCTTGCGGGCTATTGTCTTGATGCCTGAGAGTGTAGGCATAGCCGCTATTCCAGTCGGGGGTGATGGGTGCTGGGCTTCTAGGTTGGCAAGTCTGTCTGCTGCTTCGTTTCCTTCAATGCCTAGGTGCCCAGGGGCCCATTTGATTGAGACGTCGTGTGTCTCCATGGCACTGTGGCACTCCAGGAAGGCCCACTGTGAGGTGGGGGGTGCGTCGCCCCTGAGGCACCATATGACTGAGGTGCTGTCTATGCA